TAAGAAAAACAGTGCTCTAGTAGCACCATCTACCTCTCGGCTGTCGTACTCATCACTATTGCAATTTAATATTTGGTGGTGTGGACACTTGGTTAATATCTGTCCTGATATGATAAGTTCCAGAAGGATTAGCTGTTGTCTCCCTAATGTTCAGTCCAGTGTATGGCATACAGCAGGTACTTAATAAATATTAATTGAATGAGATAAATGACTTCAGTGCTTGTAGAAATCTACTTAATTGATAGCTGTCTGTTGAATGCTACTATGAATGAATACACCTGTAACGTGTTCTTTTTCTAAACAATGTATATAGTTTTGGGGGAAATGTTTCTTCCATCCTTACTGTTTCTTATCATTAATAGTAAATACAACTACTTGAATTTTTAGAGTCTAATGGTTAATTTTTTAAAAAAACTTTTGAATGTATAGTGGCATAATATTTAAATAAATGCTGATATTTAGAATTTTTTAATTCAATGTTTACATTTTTCTCTATAAAATAAAACAAAGCAAAAATATTGCTTTTAGGGAATTTCACATCTTCTTGGTATTCTTAGGAAAGAAGTAATGTATTTATGATATTAGAAGAAAAAGCAAGGGAGTAAAGAGGTCATGGCAAGTGCTGGGCATGAATCCTATTTGACCTGTTTTTGCTTCCATTGTCCTCCCATTCCTTCCCACCCCCACGTAGGCCCAGGCAGCAGCCCAGCTAATAAATATTAAATCTATTATTCACCTGCTCTGTTCTCTCTGCCCAATAGCCAAAGAAGCATTGGCTGTGAAATAGTCTGGCTTCTCATCAGACCGAGAGAAGTGGGAGGGAAATGTGCACTGGTTTAAGAAAAGCATCTGACAAAACTATAATTCTTTTTCAAAAAATTGTTTATTTTTAGAGGCAGGGTCTTGCTATGCTGCCCTGGTTGTCATGAACTCCTGAGGGGGCTCCTGGGACTCCTGGGACTAGAGGGGTGCTCTGTGCCCAGCCAATTCTTATATTATGTAGGGCATATAAGCAGGCATTTAAATAAACACTTTATTTAATTTGAATATGAAATTTTATTGGTAAAGATAGGGCATGCATTCCATTATACTGGATGCTGATGTCTTTTATAGTTATGGTTCCCAAAGGACATATGGTTCTCCCAAAATATAATCCAGCTTCTATAACTCTGAATGGGGGTCCAAGTCCCCTTTCCCGTGTGTCCCCTCTTCTTTTCCCTGCCCCAACAAGCCTGATTACACAGACATAATAATTACATGTGCAGCAGCATAAAGACAATTAAAAAATGATTTTTCAAAGATTTTGCACAGCTTTTCCATAGAAAACTTGAAATAAGGTATTTGCTTTAAACTTGGCATAGCTAAAGACCAAAGACCAAAGTGATGTCTACGACCGGGAGAGTCTGACTAATCACTGAATACCGTTAGAGAGCCAGTAGCACAATACGTGTTTTTTTGCTTGTCAAAGGTGATGAAAGACATGCAAGCAAAATAATGAGAATGACAGGGAAATGGTTTTGTTGAGCATCACTGAGATTTAAAGCAAAGTAACTTATTCCCATTTTTTCATAGAATATTCAATTGTAAAGTATAGAGACTATTTGAAAGTGTCTTAATTTTTTAATTCCTAAAATGTGGAATTTATTGAAAAAATAAATGTAGACCTTATCAAGGCATTTGGGGGCTGCAGTTTCATTTATTGTAATTAGTCCTCATATTTCAAAATCGGTTTCAAATTCTTCATTGCATTAGGGAAATATTAAAAAAAAAGGAAAAGACAACAACTTATTGAGTTCCAAATGAAAGCATGTCTTTATACTTTCTAGAGAGTAATTATTAAACATAATAAAAACCTAGTGGAATCTCATTTCTACACATCATTAAAGAGTTCTTGAGCCAAACAAACAATGGCCTTTTGTTGATGAGACTGTAGAAATTATTAGTGCGGAAAAAATTGTCATTATTTCAGGGAGGACGTCGTTACATTCCCACCTCCTCCTGCTCTAGATCACTTTTCTTTGCAGGGTTGGGGAAAATAACCAGATAAAAACTGATTTCACCAGCAGAGGTCACCCTTTCTCCTTTGTCGTTCCCAAAGAGTGGCTTAGCCGGGATTCCTCAGTCCAAGGAAATGCAGTTTTCAGCTTGAAGCACAGCCAGAGGGCTGATGGAAATATATGCATCATTCACACCGGCTGTGTTTTCTTACATATGCACCATGTAAAGGTATTACTCTACCTGGACTCCTGCGTGGATAACTCGCATACATATAATAGGAACCATTAGGTTATGTATGACAATCCTACTCTGTAGTTAATCCACTTCGTCAAGTATTAGTTTAATGCTTACCGGTGCCAGCTCAAATTCTGCCCAGCTCTCTGACTCACGGACCAAAGAGTAGGTTTTCATAACACCCTGGAGATGACTGGCACAAGCCTTCAGAGAGAATCCGTTGGTGAGTTTCTGCAGGGAAAAAAGGAACATTGGCCAGGCAGAGAGCCCAGTACCAGGGACTGCAAGGTAAACTGCAGAGGTATAAGGCTTGGCTTCTGCATTTAGGTTTGTTTCGAGAACAAATGCATATGTTTGTAGTTCATTTGAGATGCACATTAGGCCACAGAATGAATTTCTAAATGAATTGTACAGGAGTGGCCATACAGATTATCTCTGCAAGGCCATGGGTGAGGGATAGAATTGCTCTGGTCCTGGTGCCTTGTGCCGGGGAAAGGGAAAAACACTCAGCACGTGCCTGGCCAAATCCAAAAATGGATTTCAGGAATTTTTTTTCTCTTCCTCCCTTTAGGAGGGAAATAATTGGCGTTTCTCGGAGCTCCTGGAAAAGTGGGGCTCATTGGTTTTACAACGGTTAGTGAAGATCTTTTCTAGACTAAACTCCCTCCCTTCCCTTTCTTTTCTTTTTTTCTGTAAACAGAAGTTCTTGTTGCCATTTGAGAAGTTTAAGAACTCGGTGGACCTTGGGGATTCTCTGTGGCTGCTGCTCTTCCCATGGGCTCCAGATGGCACGGTCACAGTGTGCAGGGGTAAGTGGCTCCTCCTAAAGAGCAGAAATGCACTTCTCCCGTGCAGGAAGCGGGGTGGCTGAGTGGCCACAATGACAGAGAGATCTCTTCCAGGAGATGCATCCCGGGCAGGAAGATCTGCCTGTGCCCCTGACATCACCCTCTGGGTCCCTCCTCTTTCTGGCTGCTGGGCCTTTTGCCCCCCCGGCTGGCTCTGTGCCAGGGCATTTGCCCCTTACCCACCCAGAATGCCTTGCTGTTGCCAGCTGGTGCGGACTTGCCGGAGAATGTGGGTAAATAGGAATTCTGCGAGCTGCTTGTGCAACCATTGGTAGCTTGAATCAGCCCCGGTGGGAGCATTTACAACATAGCAATTGGCAAACTCTGCAAATCAATCCCCCCAACCCCGTTGGTTTACCAGCCCTCAGCTGACACGTCCTTCTCAGTACCAACGGCAACACACCCACGTCACTGCACTTGAAACAGTGACAATCTTTGGACCTTTCGACAAATATCTACTAGGGAAAAAAAAAGAGAAAAAGTAGCCTCACTTTCTTGTCTTCCTCCTTCAAAAGCTTTGAAGCCAAAGTTCTCTTTATCAAGTACAGATTTCTGCTCTTAATTTTAACCAGAGGTTACTCAGAAGAGGCGAGTTGTCCCAGCTTTCAGGCACACTCTGATTCCTTTCCCTAAGCCCACACTTGGCCTAGATGATTCACCCCCAAATTTCCTTTTAACCCTGTTGTCGTCATACTGGCAGCTCTGACTTCCTGAAGGCAACTGTCCCCTGACATTGTCCCTGGCCTCAGCCATCAGACTCTTTGCTGGTCCTTTCTGGCCCCAGAAGGCATTCCAGGTGTTCAGGCTGCCTGCTCCTCCCAGGTGAGTGAGAGGCGATGCTGTTTCCTGTCGCTCCACGGCACCTTCCTCGTCCTCTTTGACAGGGGAGCCTGGATTCCGCCAACTTGCACCTGTGCTGCTGCTGAGGCCAACGCCCAGGAGGAAGGAAGGTGGAGGAAGATTGTTCCTTCACCCTCTTCCTCGCCGAGACACTGAGCACTGCTCTTCCCCACGCTGAGGAAGGGCAGCTGAGGCAGTCTGGAGATGGCGTGTTACAAAAAGGACAGGGATTCCAGAAAGAAAGGGGCAGAGGTGTCGGGAGGAGGTTGCCCGCCCCCGCTGGGATGGTGTCATATTTTCCACCATAAATCCACTGCCTCGTTCTTATGAGCTTATTTAACCTTCATTATCTTCCTAAAGGGCCTATATCCAAAGACAGCCACACTGGGGACCAGGGCGCCAACACATAAACTATGGGAGGACACAATTCGGTCCATGACAAATGGGAACTGATTCTGTTTTAAATATATTTACAGAAGAAAGAAATATCCTCATAGTCTCCTTTAATTCCCTTGTTCAGATTTAACAACTCTCTCTTTAGGAAAGTCTTCCGCATGGTCTGAATTCTGCCCCAGGCAGGTGAATCCATTCTTTCTCCTTCTTGATTCAGTGAGGAGGGCAGAGAGCGGATCCTAATTCTGTATATCTGTGGTTTCCACCAACTCCCATCCCTCAAAGTTTCTCCACTCAAAATTAATTTTTATTCACTCAAATTTAAATAATAAGCATGTGCAGCAATTTAAGGAGAGGTACACGCAGCCAAGTCAAACAAATAGGGAAGGGGCTTTACAACTCTTAAAAGTGAGAACTTTTTATTCCTCAAAACACTCATGAGACAGTCAGGTTTGCAAATCACCGTGACTTTATCCCTTGTCCTTTTCTTCTTTTCCGAAGAATTCCTTCTCCAATTCCTGTTTCTTCCCCTAGTGGCTGAGGACCTGAAACAAGTCAGGGTGGGAGTCAGGCAGCACGTCTACTTGGTTACTCCTCATTCCTGTTTAGTTTTCGCTTCACGAATTTAGGTTTCCTGCCTCTCTGGGAGGGGGAGCTCTCGTCACATGTCCCCGTGCCCAGGCTGCCGGAGCAGTGACGGGGGCTGGCGGATGTGAGCCGCAAGAGGGTGGCAGCGGGGAAGGAAGCCCAAAGCCGAGTACACGTCACTCTTCTATGTACATTTGCATTTAACGGGAAACTTCTGGAAGCAAGATGCCTGACTGCAAAGGATGTGAGCGCCTGTGAGGAGGATTTCAGACAGGTCCGTGAGGGAGATGTTTGTGGGCGTGTGGGGACTTTCTCCCAGTCACACCATCTAGACCAGCACCTGCCTCTTCCCCTCTCCTCTCCCAGGGGCCGGACAGCCGGGGGGTGGGGCTGGGACTCAGCCGTGAGAACACTGGAGGTGTGGCTGTGTGGGTTATCCCCTCGTCTCTGTGTGGGTTATATCCGGATCTGGGGTTACTCTGGCCACGTGAGGCCCCAGGTGCACGGGCTTGACAGGAAGTGGGCCCAGCCAGGTCAGGGTGGGGCCGGCAGTTGGCCATCTGGGCGGTAGCCTCCCTTCCCCCGGCGGAATCCTGCGTCCCAGGACTTTAGAGCTGGGGGGCACCTTAGAAGCCCCCCTGAGTGTAAGCCTTTCATTTCACAGATGAAGTCACCAGGGCCCAGAGGGGTCCTCCCTCTTTCTGGGCTTGTCAGAGGCACTTAAGAAATACATGTTGACTTGACACGACCCACTGTGAAATAGGCGTAGCAAAGCTCCCCCGTGGCAGCTGCGTTAGGCTGCTGCAGCTGGCAATGATTGTCCCGCTGTGGGTCTAAGCCTAATGGTGGGAGCGGTGGAGGGGCACTGGGGGAGCCTTCTCAGGCTTTGCATGGTACAAGCCGAGGCTTTCAATCAAAGCCTCCTTTCACAAACAAACTGGAGTGTGACAGGATGTCAGAGCTGGAAGGGACCTTGTGGACCATTAGGATCACACACCCACTTCCAGCCTCCCCAGGTTACAGGTGAATAAACTGAGGCCCAGAGATGGAGCAGCTCTGCGGCAAATTGCAGACCTGAGCTTGACGGTGTTGTCTGGATTCAGGAAATATGTGAAACATAACGAGAAGGAGGAAGGGGAGGGCTACACGCTGGGTGTGACGAGGCGAGCCTGGTTCTCCTTTGTGCGCCATCTTGTGACTTACGGTGGAGCGAGAGTTATTGTCCCACCAGTGAGACAGAACTGTATAAATTAAAGCTACAATGAACTGTCTGCTGAAGGTGTGAACAAGGCAGATAAATCCCTGGGAGCTTAGGAAACATCTGCTCTCTACCTCGAAGGCAGAAACTTCACCATAAAGCAGAAAAAGCCAGGACTGGAATCTCTCACTTCCTCTGACGGGGTATGTAACGATTGGGCCCAACCTTCTGGTCCAGTCCACGCCGAGGGAGATGCTTTGGACAACTGACTGGCTTCTCCCTTTCTCCTTTATGAGTCTTGAATTTTCCTGCTTCTGCCATGTCCATTTCCTTGTGCCGTTACACAATCATCGAGGGTAATCTTGACCTCGTCAAGGCATCTCCTGCTGAGCCCCAGTGGAGGCTGGGTAAACTGAGTCAAGGGGAGGAATGACAAGAAGGCTGCCAGGCAGGGGCCAGGAGTTGGGGCAGGTCTTGGGCAGAATCCCTGGTCAGAGGTCAGGGTGTGGGAGTGGATTTGGGGGGCTGGTGATGGGGCAGGGGCAGAGAGCCACCAAGAGCTGAGGTCAAGGATCCAGGAGATCTGAATTAGATTGCTAATCTGATATTAGAAATCTGGACTCAGAAAAATATGAAGCAGCACCAAGATTTAGGCCTAACACGTGACATGCTGACTTAAGGAAATGGTTTTAAACACAAGGGTGGCAGATAGTTGACATCTTGCTTGCTGATCCCAAACGAGTGGTGATGGCTGTCTGAAGTGTGGTGTCTAGGAGGATCAGAATCCTTGGCTGGGCTGAAGGGTGCTGTGATCCCCTGAGGATGTCTGCCGTGGAGAAAGAAGGATCTGTATTCTAATGGTCCTCATCCTACTCAGCTCTGGTTTGCAGCTTGTACCTACATGCCCTGTCCGCCCATAATCTTTCCGTGTTCTGAACAGCTGCTGTGCTGCCCTGCCTGTCCACATCATAGAGCTGCCTTAGAGATGAGCAACCTCCCTTAATTTACTCCCTTACTCAAGTCTAAGGCTGATTCTCTTTGTATACTATTATGTTCATATATTGCATGTATTAAATCTCTTAAACAGGAAACATTAGGTAGTTTTAAAACCTAGAGGCTGCACTGGGCATGGGCCATTGGTTCTGTCCCTGTGTCTCACATTCTCTTGGAGGAGAGTGAGTGTCATTAGTGGGGAAGCAAGGTGGTCTACGCCAGGCTCCTCACTCTAGCTTGGATGGACTCTTATCTTTCCATACTGTCAAGAAGTGAACATTTAATGAACAGTTCCTAAGTGGAATGAACTCTGTTAGGCACAGCAGACCAGTACCTCATGAGGCAAGTGGTGACCCAGTCCCTGTGCTCCAGGGGCTTCTACCCTTGGGATTACATATGGCAGGGGAGGGAGGAGAAGGCAACAATAACTTGGTTCTCAAGTGGTCCTCAAGTGGCTGGTGAGCAGGACCAGTGCAATGGGTAATTTAGTTCTTTTGGTCACAGTCATATGGACAGAGTTTTGCTTAGTTGGGGTAGGGAAGCAGGGAGGGAAACATCCACATTTCTTCTCCTTCCATTTTATCTGCACATATGAGATTGATTAGAGTTGCAATTTTGAACTTTTTGATATTTCTCCAAAGGCTGGTGTCAAAACCCGCTCATCTAGAAAACGTGTGTGTAGAGGTAAGCACCTGGGAGTTAGGAAACCTGGGATTGGATTTGGGTGTTTCTCTAATTGCTTCATAGTATGACTTTGGGTAAATTACTTGATCTCTTTGAACTTCAGTCTTTTTTTGGTTTGTTTTTGTTATTTGAAATCTGTAAGGTGGGGTAATAATGCCTGCTTTACCATCTAATAGGATTAAAAGATATTAACATGTGTGAGCGTGTTTTGTAAATTGTAAAGCACCAAAGGAATGTAAGAGTTTGTTGTTATGATATTAAACATGAATAATCGTTAGGTATAAGATGCATACCTATTGTATTAAAATATGAAAAATAGGGCCTTGTTTGAATGGGATATTCACTCCATATTCTTTTCACCAATCTAGAATCCATAATCACTTTCTCTTTCTATTCTTTGGTGATGCCAAGATCCCCATCAACCAGTGGTGAAAATCCGTGAGCTGTTTTAGCAAAGGTGGAGATTTTTTTCCCTCCCTTGTGTGGTCTGGTTTCTTTGTGGGGACAAGGAGTTTGCATTACAAATGGGTGACCAAGTGAGGGGTGCAATCGTAGACTGAAAACCCCAGCAGAGTTAACTGGCCAACAGAGGCCTTAATCTCTTGGTTACCTCATATTAACCACCTGGGCCAACTGGCCCAAGGAATGATGGGTGACTCCAAGACAAGAACTGAGGTGGGTTGTCTGGAGCTTTTTTTGGAGACAGGATCTCACTCTGTTGCTCTGGCTAGAGTGCAGTGGCATCATCATAGCTCACTGCAATCTCAAGCTCCTGGGCTTAAGCGATCCTTCCGCCTCAGCCTCCTGAGTAGCTGGGACTGCAGGTGCGCATCACCACACCTAGCTAATTTTTCTATTTTTTTTTTTTTTTTGTAGCGATAGGGTCTTGCTCTTGCTCAGGCTGTTCTCCAAGTCCTGGCCTCAAGCGATCCTCCTGTCTCGGCTTCCCAAAGTGTTGGGATTATAGGCGTGAGCCACGGCGGCCTGCTTAGAGCTTTCTTTATTTCAGCACCTGACTCTCTTCCCTGCAGCTTTGGCAGGACTCAGTTTTGTCACTCGCAGACATTAGGTCAAGGAGTTTCACTGCAAATTCTTTTTAGCTTATTTGAACAGAAGAAGGCATTGTCCCATCGGAGTTCAAGGCTTTGCAATTTGGAGCAAGTACACTTTGAGCTCAGAAGATCAAATGCTGTGCTAGCAACTTGTTTTAATGTTCAATTTCTATAGTTAGGGGAAAAGAAGATTTCAAATGTCATTTGCTGTAATGATTAGCTCCAGTGAGGGATTCTATCTATGATTATTTGCTTCAAAGATTTAATTGGCTGAGGCCTGTATATTTGATCATTAACAAAATGGTCTCTTCTTTTCCACCATGTTAATGATACTGTTTAATAGAAATGCAGCTTTGATTTCTTCCTGGGCTAGGTTGCTATTTTTCTGGCACTGAGAAGTGTTGGTTTAAGATTCGCCACATATGAGACACGGTCAAATTCCATTTTGGAAAGCTCCGAGCTGGGGGCTGCTCAAAGAGATGGGGCTGGAAAGAATATTCTTGGCCCAGCTGTGGGAAGCAGTTTGTTTAAATCAGAATGAACCAAAGACGTTGGCTCATGTGGAAACTTTATACCTGGACCACATGTTTTAGACACTTCTGAAAAAACAAACAGCTCCATATTTGCAATTACAAGGTCAAAAAGTCGCATGTTGGCCCCACTGCCAATTTAGCTAACTGAGTCCTCAAACAGTCGGCACTGATGTTGTTAAATAAGAGTATGTTGTGGCCACTTAACCAATCTCCACACCTGGAAAAAATAAAAATTAAAACAAGAAAGAAAGCAAAGTGAATTTGAAACCAGGCTGTGGTGACAATGCTCAGATTCTGAGCGCCTAAGCTGTCTCTACATTCCAGACTTGGAGCGCTATTTGGAAAGCACGCATCTTTATGGGCAGATCTCCTTAATCCATATCTCAGGGGCAAGATTAACACTGTGCAATACCCCACACGGACTTGGATTTCTGGAAATATGTTCTCATGAGAAGTGTCCCACTGACCATGTCATCTTTTTCTTCCTCCCCTGTCTTAAGCCAGCTGGTTTATCTCCTGAAATTCAATATACTTCTCCTATTTTTTTTTCCAGATATGTCAGTGCACAAAAGAGGCTCATGAGAAGAAACAGCTGCACCGATACCAGCAGGAGCTGCTGCAGCTACAGATTTGAGGCGTGCACCTGCGTGGAGTTGGGTGACTGGAGATTTGTCAGGGAAGGGAGTATTGTGGAACATCAGGCCTCTAAAGTCAGAGGAATGGATGGCTCCAGGGGTGGCTCATTGGATACCCTGCTGCTCACCTGGAGGTCATGGGATCACACCTGACTTGAATTAGCCAAAGGGATTCCAGGATGAGGGTTAGTTGGTCGTTTATGAATGAAATGATTAGCTGGCTATAACAGTTTCTAACAAACAGATTGTCCACATCAATGGCATCTATTCATCAAGCCACAAGCAAGTGGAATCTCTGTAGCCCTCATGGCAGGAGGGGGCAGGGCTGCTGAGACTTAGAAGCATCCTGTTAAGACTTCATGTAGATGGGAGTGAGCTGGGAGGCACTGGAGGATTTTGAGCAGAAGGGTGACTTGATATGACATATTTTTTTTTTGAGACAGAGTCTCACTGTGTTGTCTGGGCTAGAGTGCCGTGGTGTCAGCCTAGCTCACAGCAACCTCAAACTCCTGGGCTTAAGCGATCCTTCTGCCTCAGCCTACCTAGTAGCTGGGACATATGTTTTAATAGACTCACTTTGTCTGCCATATTGTGGATAGCAAGGGAGCAAGGTAACATAATCAAGGTGAAAACTAGGATGGTGGCTTGGAGTATGGGGGTATTGCTGAGGGTGGTGAGAAGCTGTTGGATTCTGGGTACATTCTGAAGGTAGAGCCAAGGGACTGTTCTAATGGATTAGAATCAGAATGTGAAGGAAAAGGAGTAAAGGATGCCTCTGAGGCTGGGGGCTTGAGCAATGATGGACTGACTTTTCAGCAACTGGGATGGTAAAAGGTTTAGAGAGGAACAGATTTGGGGGTGGGAGATTATCATGATGTATTGGTATGTCTTTTAGACATCCAAATGGAAAAGATGAGTGGACACTTGGATCTATGAGTCTGGAGTTCAGAGAGAGGGTCTAGGTGGAGATAGAAATTTAAGACAAAGGCGCTGGATGAGAACATGAGGGAAGTGGGACATGCAGAAGGGAACAGACCCGAATGCTGAGTGCTCGGCCTTCCAGTATGAGGAGTTCGGGTAGATCAGGAGGCATCCATAAAGGAAAATGGGTAGAATGGCCTCGAAGGAGGAGGAAAACTGGAAGAGAGTGGTGGCCTGAAAACTGAGCAATGAAAGTGAAGAGAGCAACTGTGCCCAGTGTTATGTAGGATGAGCACCGAGAGTTAGATTTAGCTGCATGGACAGCACTAGTGACTTGACAAGAGGAATTTTGGGGTGGCGTGATGGGAGAAATCATCTGATTGGAGAGCGTATAAAAGATAATGAGAAAAGAGGATTCAGCAAAAAAGTATGGACAACTCTTGCAAGGAGTTTTTATATAGAAGGGAGCAGACAAATGTGGTGGTAATTGGAGGGAAAGCAGAGTGAGGAAAGTATTTTTTTAAGATGAGAGAAGTAATATGCCAATGGGGATAACCCAGTAAAGAAGGGAAATTCTGATCATGTAAGAGAGAGGGGAAGGTTGCTGGGGCCATGTCCTTGAGTGGGAGCAGGTGGAGAGGCTGGCCTTCTCTAGGAGCAAGATGGCCCACCCCAGGAGGTGGGGGAGGCAGACTTTATGGGAGCAGAGAGGCTGGTGGCTGGGCAGTTCAGAAAGGTAGGCAGCCAGGTGAGCAGCCAAGAGTAAGGATGGGAGAGGAGGGAGGTACAGGAGACTGAGAGAGAGGGTGGTTGGCTAGGAGGGTGGCAGGCCCAGAATGAAGCGTGATGTCCGGCAGCATGAGGACCCAGTTGAGATCAGGGGTACAAATTACAGAAAAATAAGGGGGTGTGGTTTTATGATCTTCTCCAGCTACCTTAGCTATGGGGTACAGAGTGGGTGAAGACCTGGATTTCAGGGGTTGCCAATGCAATGCTATAAAACAGGAGAGGGGCACCCTGAAGATTTCCTTTGCATAGATAATTTTTTTTTTCATTTTTTTCAAGACAAAAATATTGGTTATGGACTTGCTAAACTGTTTAACAAACTATTAATGGGTTGTGAGCCACAGTTTGGAAATCACTGATTTAAGCGGCATATTTATTTATTTTTCTTCCTACCGGGCTTCTTAATGTAGCTGCTGCCTCAGAGAGGGTTTCCCTGAAAATCCATCAGGCACTCGATGAGCACCCACGATGTGCCTAGTGCAGTTTTCAGTGCTGGGAGGGGAGACAGAAGAGGCGTAAGACATCGTTCCTGCCTTTGGGATGATGAGTGGGTGAGGACCTGCATTAGGCACGGGTTGGTAGACACTGGAGCTATCCCTATCTCATTAAACACCTGGGTCAGATTTTATTACTCAAAGATGGCACCACAGCAGTGGAAGGATGCTGAGGGGGCCAACCACAGATGTTCACCTTAATGTCGCTCTTAGAACACCTGTTCTCCACATGTGGTCCGATCACCTGACCCTAACACTGTCATTTCTTTTAACCCAAGCAGTAAACTCTATTAATGCATCTTAAGATGCTGCCAACCTTTTAGGCAACCTTGTCAAATTGTTGGCTCAGGCTGAATTTTTGGTCAAACAGCACTCTCTGAGACATTTAAAAAAAACCTTAAAGGTCTCATAAATTTCTTATTTATACAGTTGTCCCAGGTATCCTCGAGGAATTGGTTCCAGGAACCTCTGAGGATACCAACATCCACAGATGCTTAAATCCCTTATATAAAAATGCTGTAGTATTTGCATCTAACCTATGCACATCCTCCTGTACACTTTAAATCTCTAGATTTCTTATAATACCTGATATAATATAAATGCAATATAAATAGTTGTTACACTATATTTTTAATTGTATTATTTTAATTGTTGTATTGTTATATTTAATTGTTTTTTTTCTACCAAATATTTTCCATCCATGATTGGTTGAAACTGAGGATGTGGCCAGCTGTATAACTAATTATTTTTTCTTTGAATAGAATGAATAGAAAGAATGCCCTTTCTATTGGAGCATGGGGATTGTATGTTTTGGAGCTGTAGACACATATTTACTGTGTGGGAATAAAATCATGGTGCTAGTTCCCTCAAATTTTGGTTCATTTCAAAACATAAGGCCCTGCAGAAAGCAGTATGCAAGAGTCTCTGATGCAAAGAGAAAAATATTTAATTTCTTCATCTTTTTGTTACTATTTTTGGTGTTTGATTTCAAGGGAAAACGAATTAGGGCAAAGGTGGTATATTCGAACCCATCTTCTAATCATGTTTTAACTCAATATAAAAGGAGTTCATTTTTCTCTGCTACAGTCAATGTTTATGGTCCCAGAAATGGCATTTTCATTCACTGTTTATGGTTTGGATGCTTTGTGCTAACATACTTGTCATGGATGCAGTTGAGTTTGCCTTTCCAGGCAACAGTTAAACCAGCAGGAGACCACTTGTGTGCAATTTGTTGGAATGAAATCTGCATTTTGGGATTAGATTACTTAGTAGTGTCATTTTGCGTTGAGTCGACTTTGTGGGTGGTCTCCAATAAACCCTGCACGTACGGCGAGTGTCAGCCCTGATTATCTCCAAGCGAGCTTGTAATGACGGCACAGCTTGCTATTTACAAGAAAAAAACAGCTTCCCTTACTTTTAATTCAGGGAATGCCAGGGCATGGGTGAACCCCCACAGAAGGGGAGCAAAAGGCCCATTCAGGGGCCATTCTTGGAGCAGTGCAACTTAATTTTCTGCCCTCTCTAGCCATGAGGACAATAGCCACAAATGTCACATGGAGCTCACCAATTAGGACATTTATCTGAAGGAGCTGTTTTAGCTCAGAATACATAAGGACTGAAGGATTAAGTGAAGAGGATAGATCTAACGTTGTGGAGTGAACCATATGGCTGGCTTAAGCATGAATATGTCCAATAAATAACAAATAGTGTTCTGGGCCACCACCATGGCATTCTGCTGGTAGCAATTCTCTAGGGCAGTGGCCCTCAACCAGGGGGGATTTGGCTTTCCAGGGAATATGTGTCAATTTCTGGAGACATTTTTGGTTGTCACTGCTGGTGGAGTTGTTACTGCATTTAGTGGATAAAGGCCAAGGATGCAACTAACTGTCCCACAATGCATAGACACCCCCTCCCCCCTGTAACAAAGAATTGCATCCAAAATGTCACAAGTACTGAAGTTGAGAGACCCTGCTCCAGGGTATTAGTGAACGAACTCTTGACCTTTCCAATCCTCTTCTTGTTTCCTTCAACATCCCCTGGCCCACTCTGATTCCTTCTGCATCCCTGCTTGCCCGGAGCCCTCATGGTACCAGAGCCAAAATATTCCAGAGTCCTGTAGTGGAGAGAACACCAGCTTTGCAGCCAGACAGATCTAGGTTAAATCCAGCCTAATGCCTTCAGGTTGGGTGACTTTAAGACAAATTACTTAATCTCTCTGAGCTTCAATTTTTTTCACAGATGAGACAATGGGGACTACAGTCCTTACCTGGCTGGGTGACAGTAAGGATTATATTTATGTAAATTTATTAACACTTGGTCTGCTAGGTAACAGATACTTCAAAACATTTTTATCATTGCCGTCCTTGCTTGCAACTACCAAAGTTCAGTTTTCCCACATTTAGAGATTATTCTAGCAATTTCTTTTTACTGTAGAAAATTTAGAAAAAAATTAAGCAAGCAGGAAGAAAAACCCAAATCACTTGTATTCTTATTCCTCAGAGAAAATCACTGTTGAAGGTTTTTGTGTATGTGTTTCCACATCTTTCTTTGTGTGTTATGTGTGTTCTGTTGTGGATACTGTTTAGTGCTTGCTTGTTAGACTTGATGAAGTATTAGGAACTTCTCTCCATGTCAATAAATATAGATCTACATCATCTGGATCATCGTTTTAAGAAGCTGCCTAGTGTTTTATTGTATTGATGAACCATCATTTATTCAGTCAGTCTCTTATATCCTTGGACATTTAGATCACCAAGGTAGTCTTTAAAGCCTAGAGAATGCCTTGCTTAGGCTGTATGGACTTTGTTGCTGGTAGTTCTAGAAAGCCAATGCCTCTCTGTGCCCACTTGCTACTGTACAAACATACTCCACATGGCCAATTCAGAGAGGCAGCTCTCCCCACAGGACACGTGTTCCCTGCTCCCACTCTTTCTGGACTGCCTGTTCTTGCTATGTGGGGCAGATAGTGGAGTTAGTCTTCTTTT